GCCGTAGCCGGCCACCGCGCCGCCACCAGCTGAGCAGCGAGCAGAAACCACAACCGCAATGCTTGCGACTCGCCGTCACACCGTCATCTGGCTCCTGCAGCCATGGCCGCCGGTGGTGCTCCCGTGGCCACGGTGCGCTCGCTCTCTCTCTTTCGCCTCCGCCCTGCTGGCCACACCTTCAACCTCTCCACCTTGCGATGCCTCCCCAGCGTCTCTTCTTCGGCTTCCTCCACTGCCGTGGGCACCGCCGCCGGTGTGCCCGTCGTGGGTGTGGTGCTGGCCGTTGGTGAGCGCCATCTTGCCTCAGTCGTCGTGGACCATCTTTGTGCCACTACGTGTGTCTTGCGTGGGCACAGGCTAAGGCTCAGACCGCCCGCTCGCCGTCAACGCCCCTCTCCAGCCGGCCAAATCGGCCACCAGCCGGCCCGCTGGCCTCCTCTGTTCTCAACTGCGACCAGGGACCTCGCGCCAGAATTTGATGAAAGGGAGGGGTCTAGCTACGAGGTCTGTGACTCAAATGAATAGTGCCAATAAGGACCTATTTGTAGTAAATTTGCTGAATCTTTGGAAATTCATAGTAATTCATAGGAAATTCGTCAAATAGCAAATGAGGACTTTTTGGAATCCTTGTGAAATTCTCTATGCATTAGATCTATAATATAGCATATTTTAGTTTCAATATTTTGCGGTAAAAATAGATTTATGCAGTAAGGTTGTAATGCTAGTTGAATTTGTTATTTTCCATAACTATAGATCTAGGGCTCCAAATAAAGTGAAATTTTTTGTGGAATGCTACTCGTGGGATAGTTGATGTGTGATAAAAATTTCATGAGTATTGGATGAAGTATGAGTGAGTTATTGGTTTATCTCGCTCTCATAGGATTTCTTGCAATAGCAAATTGTCTTTTTCGTAGAGGCAGCTATACTTATGCACATGGTATGGAATTTGTACAGTAGACTATTGAGAGGATATGTGAGCTACTGTAATTTTTGTAGAATTTATTGTATATTTTTTGTATATGTTCATAAATACACCTTGATGTCTAAATAAATTAAGAAATGCTTTAAAAAATTATTTAGAGGTGAGCACCATGCTTTTTGGTGTTCTTTAGTCATGTGTGAAATGTTGGTAAAGTTGGTTTTGCCCAATTATGAATTTGCAACATAAGTTAATAATTATTTTCTTGCCGATGTGGTTTATGGACAGATCTGGGAACTTAGCAAAGTTCTTCATGACAATGTGCTTTGTTGTGAAACTTGTTTATACAAAAGTTGTAGATAATTTATGTATCTAGCTGCTGTTAAAATTTGGTATCATTTGGCCGAGTAGTGTTTGAGTTATAACTGTTTAAAGTTAGAATACAGGATTCGTTACTCTCTGTTTTGTATGAACCAGTTTCTGTAAGGGTATAATTTCGACCTACTTAACTTGGGAATCATGCTGTGATGGTTATAGATGAAATGTAGATAATTTCATAAGCTTTCCAAAATGTCTTCTTGCAAGTCATTTGGATTTGTGTAACTCCAGTTATAGCGAAATCTTGTAGCTGCTGTTTGCATGTCCCGAAATTAGCATATTCCAATTATAGTGTTTGCTTGTATATTGTTAAGTGTGACTTATACCTTGAATGATGACTGAGTTAGAGCATCTGAGATATTGGCAAACTTATGTCATGCTTGGTGTTGTCGTCTTCTTTGCCATCTTAGCATGATAGATTGTGTGATGTTTAAGTTAAGCATCGCAAAGTATTTAAATGTGTTAGTGTAAACTATGCTTGTCTTACTTGCTATTTTGTGATGCGTCTCATGGTACTCTTCTACATATTTATGCACTTGTATATTGCATCTTATCTAGGTACGCTAGATGCACCACGTGAAGGATGCGATGTTGGAGCCAAACCCGAAGATTTGGTTTGGTGGATATATCCCGAAGATGGAAGGACTAAGCAAGTGCTAGGACCGGAGATGTCACCATGACGGTGCAAGCTAACTGAACTAACTGGTGTCGGATCCCAGGCAAGCCCCGGAGCATATTAAGCCTCCTAATTTCTGAAATGCAGTTAAAGTATTATTGTTACATATATATATTGTTGCATTAAGTTTAGGTGTTGGATGCAAACACTTGCTGCATTGGTTATCCAATCCTTGTCCAGATATTGATACCCTGAATCCTATGTAGCTCAGGCTCGTGTAGTGCTTAGCCCTGCTTAAACGCGGTAGAAGTCAGGTGATTTCCTGTCATCTGCGAGATATAGGAATATACATGTGGCACGGTTGGCTATATTTGCTATCGTGGAAAAGAATCTGTCTTAATTTGAAATGAAGACCGGGCGGAGGCTTGCCGGTTTGTAGTGACTCCGTATGTGTCGCTTAAGGACTGAATCTTAGAGCCTTTCCTGTTCATGTTGAACGCATGCCTCTCTTAGTTGGCCGTGTCCGAAGACCGACCACGAAGCCGAGTAGCTCACCTCAGGCCGGGAGTCGATAAGTATAAAGTACGCCTCTGAAGGGAGCCGTAGGTGTGAGTCCAAGGGCAGGTGATTTAAAAGTCCTGATCGTCCTGGCAGAAGGGTAATCCCTGAGAGTGCTGGCGTTGATCGAACCCGCGAATTTGGTTCCTGAGTTGTCACAAAGGTGACCCACGGCTACCCTTGCAAAGTATGCCAGGGTGAGAGTTAGGAATACCCCCTCAGCTGAGTTGTAATTCGATTCGAGTCGCCGTCTCTCCCGGTTAGTGAGAACTTGACGGGCTTATCTCCAAAGTAGATACACTAAATAACATAATGGTTCAGAAATGATGATATGATGATGTCAGCCTTATTATACCTGCTATGGTTAATATTGATTGCTCCTAATAAGTGAGTGCTCTAGTACAGGTGCTAATCTAGTGGACAGATAAATGATGGTAAGCTTGATGCTAAGTTTAAATTGGTCACTATATTCATAAGCTCTTTTATGCAAATGTGTCAAGCTAGCCCACCTCATAAGCCTTGCATGATCCTTGGTGTCCTTTATTTCTGGTTTTGTCGGGTAAGTCTAGCTGAGTACCTTCTCGTACTCAGGGTTTATCTCCCACCTGTTGCATGTGACCAGTTCTACTTTGGTTGCTGCAAGTATTGTCTTCTCCCGGCTGGGGATAAAGACTAGACCGTTGGGCGCGGTCTCTCCTAGTTCTCGTACCTAATAATGCTTTTGTGGGACATGACTAAAATCTGGCAATGTATTTGAAACTATGAAGTTATATACTAAACTATGTTGCTTCCGTAAATTTGAACTTGGTTTGTAATATTTTATTCGCACTCTGATGGATGTAATCCGGATGCCACTTGTGAAATGTTGTAACGAATGATGTGTTGTGTTGAATCACTATGGTTTTGGTTTGTATGTCGAGAGTTGTTTGAAATCCTTCGTGATTTCCGGACTACCGGGGTTATGGGAGCTTAAGTACAGGAATTTGATCACTTCGGTGATTGTTTTTGTACTTACGTTCTTATAATTTGGTCGGTTCTGTTACATATGTTGCAATGGTTTATACAGTATGTTGCAAGCGTCTGTTCCCAATGTTTCATCTGTTTTTCAGATGTATGTTGCAAGTGTATTTATATGGATGTTGCATATGTTTCATATGTATGTTATAAGTGTTTTATTTGGATGTTGCGTATGTTTACGATGGTTTTCAAGTGTTTTTAACGCATTTTTACAAGTGTTTCAGATACAGGTTTCAAGTGTTTCATTTGTCTTTTTTTTATATTACAAGTATTACATCTAGATAATTCAAAAGTAGATTGAGTTTGCATCTCTGTCCTCATCTTCTGCTGTCTTGCCTTGATGTCTCCTCATCTTCTGTCGCCTTGCATCATTGCCGACAGAGCTGCGTCCGGACCACGTTCGGTCGCAGGTGCCTCCATATGATAACGGAGTTTGTGGTTTGGTATGTGGTCCGCCAATCGCCCTCTTGCGACACGTCATATCATATATGCTATGCATGCATGTTGCGGACACATCCTTCCCCTTTGGAGAAGAGGCCAATGTCCCCAATCACGGCCCACTAGAGGTTGGCCCAAGAATTCTAAACTTCTGTCGCCTTGCATCATTGCCGACAGAGCTGCGTCCGGACCACGTTCGGTCGCAGGTGCCTCCATATGATAACGGAGTTTGTGGTTTGGTATGTGGTCCGCCAATCGCCCTCTTGCGACACGTCATATCATATATGCTATGCATGCATGTTGCGGACACATCCTTCCCCTTTGGAGAAGAGGCCAATGTCCCCAATCACGGCCCACTAGAGGTTGGCCCAAGAATTCTAAACCGGGGCCCAGGCCTGCTTCTGCGTCTGTTCCCCGCATCGTCTCGTCGCGGCTCTTCCTCCGGAGCTTTCTAGCCGGCTTGTTCCGCGGCGAACTCCTGGAGCCGCCGCCTCCCTTCTCCCTGCGCTGGTTTTCTCTCGGGTACTCTTCGTAGCAGCCTACCAGCATGGTCTCGGGTCTCCCCGTGCATCATCCGCCGCAGACGACACCTGCTGCCTGGTCAGGTGCTGTCTTAGCGCGCGGCGGCTAACTCTTCTGTACTTCACGGTTCACGCATTGAGCCGCGCAGGAGGTAAACGACTTTTCCCTTCCCAGCGCATCTTCTATTACATCACCAACATCGGCGAACTAAAAATTTCCGTAGCTAAGGGGATATCTCATAGCTTAGGGGATTCATGTTCATAGTGCTAGTATACATAGTACATTACAGTAACTGGGAGGTCAGTTACAATATAGTATGCTCTTATGTGAGAGAAGATCAATCCTTCTGTGAAACCCCATCCTACTAGCAGATAGCAAAGGATTGCAGAGACACCGGCTTCCAACACCTCAGGTCTGTTTGGTTGCCTTGTTTCCCCAATAGCCAGGCCCACTGGCCTAGTGGATGCAATCTGGCACTGTCTTTATCATTATTAGCTACTAGGAGGCATGTGGTAGCATGCAATGGAGAAACTTCAGAATATTTCAGTGGAATTATTCTCCTTCGATGCATAGATGTTTAATGTTTTGAAGCTTGTCTCTGATTCCCTGTAACTCTTTCAGAGCATCACTGATTTGCATGTGGTCTGCCGGTGCCTCCTCTGAACATTGAACCCCGATGCGTAGAATTGAAGTGATGCAGGAAATTTTCATATCTGCAATCCCTTCACCATCTTCTGTCTCTTGTACCAAGTGTCTGTCCACCACACTAGTCACCCTGCCTGGCAATGCTATTTCCACATATTTGCGGAGGCCAAGGCCTTCTCCAAATTCATTGTCAGTTGGTCTTTTTCCAGTGAACACCTCCAGCAATAGTATGCCGTAGCTGTACACATCACCTTGCATTGAGACTTCATTACCCAGGCCATACTCTGGAATCAACAAAGGGAGATGATAATGAAAAAGGAGCACGAGTATATATGTATATTCAGATATTGCTGTGAAAAAAATATATTCCATAACATAACATCTTTGATGAGTGGTATGTTTTTACATAATCTTGCTATTTCCCATTCTATTATATGAAAAATGAGTATTTACCAAAACCTTTTTTATTTAAGTAAGAGAAACATGCATGAAAGGTGTGCTTAAATTATAGTTATAGACTAAGTTTTCATGATGGAATAAGTTATAAGAAACTAAAGAGTTATAGCAAATAGAAGCACACCTGGGGCAACATAACCAATTGTTCCTCTCATCGATGCCCAACCACTTGATTTATCTGCATCCTGGTGTAAAAACCTTGCAAGTCCAAAGTCTCCAACATGAGCAACCATGTTTCTGTCTAGTAGAACATTGCTCGGCTTAAGATCACAGTGAACGATTGGCAAAGGCTTGCTTTGATGAAGATATTCCAGTGCTGATGCTACATCAATTGCAATTCTAATTCTAACGCTGAGATCTAGTGCCTTCCGTTCACCATCTTCAATGGGACGTTGGTGTAGCCAGTGGTCTAAATTTCTATTTGGTAGGAACTCGTATACAAGAGCCTTGAAGTTATCACGATGGAAGTCAATACTTGAGCATACTGTCAATATTTGATTATTTTCACAAGATTTCGATGTCGAATGCACCTCAGAGTTTCACATTCAGCAACAAAACTATGAGAGGCTCCACGTTGTGTCAGGTTGAGCACCTTCACAGCAACTTCTTGTTGCTGTCCATTGCTTGTCATACTTCCCTTGTAGACTGAGCCAAAGCTTCCTGCTCCTATTAGATTCTCAGAAGCGAAACCATTTGTTGCACTGACCAATTCAGCATAAGACACTCTTATGTGTTGCTCACTTGTAAGTGATGTTTCTGGGTTTGATTTTGTCCTTTCTGTATCACAGTAGCATACAAACAGTGCAATTACTACTGTGATAAATAGAATCACACTGCATATGGATACTGTCATGGCAAGTTTCCATGTTGTCTTCTTCTTCTTTGTAGGGTGGTTGGAGCAGGGTGGCAACTTCAGTTGAGGGATTCCATTACATAGACCATCATTTCCTACAACTGAGACAGCAGATGCATTGCTGAAAATTCCATCTTTTGGAACATTGCCTTCCAAGTTGTTGAATGAGAGATTCAAATAGCAAGTCCAATCATGTTCTCAAGGAAAGTGTGGATGCTCCCAGACAAGTTATTATGTGAAAGCTCAAGCACTTGGAGGCCTCTTAGTTGCTCTATCGATGGTGGAATTTTTCCTTGAAGGTAATTTCCAGATGTATTGAGATACTGCAAGCTTTGGCACTCGCCAAGGGATGATGGGATCTCTCCAAATATTCTATTATCAGAAAAATCAAGCACTCCAAGGTTCTTGAGATTTCCCACTTCAGGCGGTAGAGTCCCAGTTAAAAAAATTGTGATCTAAATGCAAAGAACCAGACAAGGTAGAGGAGAAAAGTTCTTTAGGTATGGATCCAGTAAGATTGTTGTATGAGATATCCAACTGTTGTAAAGGACAATTGCCTAAACTTGGGGGTATTTCTCCACTGAGCTTATTGTCAAAAAGAGCTAGTACATTTAGCATTTGAAGTTTACCAATACTTGATGGGATGGATCCTGAAAATTTATTGCCTGAGAGGTATAATTGATTCAGCTTCTTGAGTCTGCCAAATGAGTCTGGAATAGGGCCCTCAAAAAGATTGTTGTTCATCTCAACGAACTGCAAGTTGACCAGATTCCCAATGCCTTCAGGTATTCCTCCAGTTATGCTGTTGTGGTTCGTGATAAAATACTTCATATTTGTTGAAAGATTGCCAACTGAATCTGGCAGCTCGCCTGTAAGCCTGTTGGCACCAATCTCTAATAAAACAATTTACTGCAATTAGTCAGGCTAGACATGAATCCCCAACCAAAACTATTTCTTATCTCGAGCTGATTCTCCGCAAGTGCCACTACCGATAAGTTCTGTTGGTGGACTCCTAGACAGTCAGGAATAGTTCCTGATAAAAAGTTATTCACTGTTTGAATCCACTGTATCATCGAGGCATTGCAGAGGGATGGTGGGATTGGGCCATGGAATTGATTTTCATCTGCTAAGAAATATTGGAGCTTTGTTAGAGTGTTGCCTAAATCAGGTGGAAAAGACCCATTTAGGTGGTTGCCTTGTAAGTCAAGATATTTGATAGAGGAAAGATTGAATATTGAAGGGGGTAAAGGACCTTCTAGTTCATTAAAGCCTATATAAAGGTTTTTAAGTGAATATAGATTTGTAATAGAATGGGGCACATGGCCTTGAAGATTGTTTTGTTTCAGAGCAAGAGTTGTAAGCATCTCAAGGTTCCCTAGTGATTCTAGTATGTTCCCTTCCAGACTATTTTTCTCAAGAATTAGAGTCACTAATGATGAGAGGTTTGCTATCCAAGCTGGAATGTTCCCCTTCAGGTTGTTTTGACCTAGGTCAAGGATACTGAGAGATAACAAACCTTGCAGTGGTGGGATGCTTTGTTCAAGGTTATTGTTGGAAAAAATAAGAGCAGTTAAATGTGAGAGGTTTCCCAGTGAAGGAGGGATGGTTCCAAAGAACTGATTGGAACCTAGATCTAGCGTGGAGAGATTCTCAAGGCTGCCTATTTCTGCGGGGATTTCTCCTGTGATGTTGTTAAATGTTAGGAGTAGGCTTTTCAGATTTACAAGTCTTCCGATGCTGGAAGGGATTCTTCCAGTAAGTCTATTATTTCTAAGACTGAGTAACTGGAGATTAGGCAAGGAGCTGAATTCACTTGGTATTTCCCCCTGCAGTTTGTTACTGTCGAGCAAGATTTCTACAAAGCGGCTACAGTTGGAGAGTGATGGGGGAATCTGACCTTCAATGGAGTTGTAGCTAAGGTCTAGAGTTTCAAGGTCATGGATATTACCGAGCTCTGGTGGCAAGATGCCATAGAAGCGATTTTGTGGAAGGTTGAGCCGCCTCAAGTACGTGATGTTGGCCAAGGCAGGGCTGATGGTGCCGAGAAGGTTGAGCCCGGTCAGGTCCAATGCAACCACATGCCCACGGCGGTGTCCCCTTGAGCCACAGGCCACACCGCGCCACTGGCACATTGGAATGGACAGGTTGCCCCATGATGCCAAGGCTCCCATTGGGTCACCCTTCACAAGTGATTTGAACAACATGAGCGTGAGGTAATCAGTGGTAGTGCTTGTGGCTGTGGGTGGCAGAGAAGCAACTGAACATGTAAGGAAGACAAAGGGGAGTAAAATCGACTCTCGGAGTAGCACCATTGCTGCCAGTGGAGCTTGGCTGCTAGAGTCACTATTGGCTTGTCTTTGTTCTAGCACAAGGCAACCCGTGAGTCTTCTGAAGTTCTCCCTCTTCGTTTGGGCTGGTTTGGCTTATAAGTCATGGCTGAAAGTATTGTTGGCTGGTTTGGTGTGAGAGAAAAATACTCTTCGTTGGCTGATAAGCCATGGCTTATAAGCCAAATACGACCAAGTGAACAGGCTATATATTTGGCGTCTGCAGTTGCCACTGGGTTCAGTTTTAATAACCTGTGATCAGCCTGTTATCAATCAGATGAAGACCCTCTCATCACAATCAATCTTCTTGATATCCCGTTGTCGGTCAGGCCATCAGAATATACAATTCGCAATGATTTGAGGTAGTCATACATGCCACTGCAAGTGTCACTGCTCGCTATTGAACAGGAGATGCAAGTGGGCCTGGTAGCAAGTTCCAAATGTGCTGGCGGCTTGGGCTCTTATTTTTCTATGAATATCATGGTTGATTGGATAAGAGAAAAGCATGGTAACCAGATGAATCGGTTATTTTTTTAGTTCAAATGGTCTTGTTTAATTTTTTGTTTTAAGGTGGAGTTGATGAATGTGTTGGAACTTTGGCTTTAATGAATACACATTCCTATCCTTTGTCATGGCAGGTCAAAAAAGGGGGGCGATTGAGCATCATTCTGGTTAGGTTAAGGATCCAGTGCAAGCAAACAAGGAGAAGAGAAGATATATATAGAGGTCTTTCAATAAAAGATAGAATATATATAGTGGCCAGCTGGTGGCTAATCATAGCGAATCTACGTGCAATCTTCTTAGTGTTCTATCGGCTGACAGCCTAGTTTGGCAGAATGTGAGAAATCACTTTTTTTTTAGTGGAAAACAAAGTTCAATGTGCAACTTCGAATTTGCCATGCAATATGGCAAGTGGAAGAAAAGATGGATGCTTCCTTGCCGTCTTCCTGACAGAAGTCTTTTTCTAATATTCCATTATCAAGTTGGCATTTTGCAAAGTGTGCTTCGAATGACTGAGGAAAGTCTAATCTTTGGGAAACCGCTGGGATCCTGCTGAGGGTGGGGGGCTATGTGGAGTGGATTGATGTGGAACTTAAATTAAATTCCACCTGAATCTATCCCAACACATGTGCATTGTATACAAGGGACAGTACGTACTTAGTGGAGGAAAAAGAAGGCTTAGGGATCGAATCAGAAACCCGAGCAGCAGCCTCTTGTCAAATTCGCCAGCGTCAGATCTGTTATCTCGATTGTCATACGCAGGAAACAGGACTTGAGTGTGAATTTCGCTGTGCTCTTTTTATTTTTATTTTTTGAAACGAATTTTCCTCGTGCTCTGAGCTGCGCGGCGATGTTTGCTGTCGACTGTCGAGCAAGAGTTGCTGCGTTAACTTCTGTGTGTCATGCTTCGTAAACCCAGTCCAGCCCCAGGTTGCTTTGCAATGCGGCATCTCCGCGCCCCTGCGTTACCCTCTTCCTGAACTCAGCCGCGCCGGAGGTAAACTCCTCTCCACCTCCCTTGTCAGACGTATCGATGACCACCACTTGTTACACGCACAACGGTTGCAGTTTACAAGATTTTTTTATTAGTAGGAACGAATTTTCCTCACATAACTGCAATTCTACGTGGAACAGGTCAACAGGATGATCCCTTATATATAATATTGAATACAGTAGATTTTCCTCACATAGCTACACTAGTGAAGCTTGAGTGTCCTCGACTGCTTTTTGTTGCCTTGGCAGTACTACTTGCACATATATCATATTGCAAAATGCACAGTTAACCTGGCAGACTGATAGCACCAAGAGATGGCATGCCCTAGAAGGTCCTTCAAAACCCTTCAGCAGATTGGTGTTGCTCTTTCGCCAGACAGATGCATGTGAAACTTGTCTCTAATTGTTTGCAGCTCTTTCAGAACATCTCCAATTGGTGGGCGATCCATTGGCCTCTCCTCTGAACACCGAATCCCGATTTGCAAAACTGAAACGGTACAGGCAATTCTCATATCTCTAATACTGCTAGAGTTTGAGGTGCCTGCTTGGCCACCTTTTGTCTCTATTAGTAGCTGTTGATCCATGATAATGCTCACTCTGTCTGGCAGTGCCGTTTGAACATAATTACGGATTCCCATGGCTTCTCCAAATTCACCGGATGTTGGTCTTTTTCCTGTGAACATTTCCAGCAACAATATGCCATAGCTGTAGACATCACCGGAGGTCGACACTTCGTTGCCCAGTCCATACTCTGAAACCAACCAACAGGAGTTCTTGTTTCAGAAAGTTGTCTTTGAAGAATTTTGTGTTCATAAAATATTTTTGTATAAAGTTAATTTGCACTACGTTTAGGTATGTATTGTAGTTTGTTCAAATTTCACAGATTTCAGTTCTTTCACATTCTTGAAAAAAAATATTTATATTGAGCCATACTTATCTCATATCTAAGCAAGCGAAACAGCAACAAATCCTTAAATTTTGATTGAAACCAACATCGCAGAATATATTAGTAGACAGCTAACAGAAATACAGAAGCACACCTGGAGCAGCATAACCAATTGATCCTCTCATTGATGCCCAGCCACTTGATTTCTCTGAGTCTTCATGCAGAAACCTCGCAAGCCCAAAATCACCAACATGAGCAACCATGTCACTGTCAAGGAGGACATTGCTTGGCTTAAGATCACAATGAATAATTGGCATCGGCTTATGTTGATGAAGATAATCAAGTGATGATGCCACGTCAATAGCAATACATAGCCTCTCAATTATATCTAGTGCCTTTTCTTCACCATCTTGCATGATATGTTGGTGCAGCCATTGGTCTAAATTTCCATTTGGTAAAAACTCATACACTAGGGCCTTGAAGTCACGGCCCTGAAAATCAATACTTGAGCAGACCGTCAATATCTTAACAAGGTTCCGATGTCGAGTGCATCTTAATGTCTCACATTCTGCGACAAAACTTTGAGATGCACCACGTTGCATGAGGTTTAGAACCTTAACAGCGATGGCTTTATCTTCGTCACTGTCTCTCATCCTTCCTTTGTAAACCGAGCCAAAGCTCCCTTCTCCAATGAGATTCTCAAGTGCAAATCCATTTGTTGCATTGACCAATTCAGCATAAGAGACCCTTATATACTGCTCACTCAAAACTGGCCTTTGTAGATTTGCCTTTGTCTTCCGTCTCATTTGGTTGATTGCGTATAGTGCAAATACTAATGTGCAAAGAACAAATCCACTGCATACTGAGATTATTATGGCGAATTTCTGATGTGTCTTCTTGGTGGTATGGCTTGAGCAGGGTAGCAATTTCAATTGAGGGATACCGCCACATAGGCCATCATTTCCCCTGACCAAGATTGCAGATGCATTGAGAAATACCCCATGTGTTGGGACTTGACCTTGGAATCTGTTGAATGAGAGATTCAAGGAAGAAAGGCCTGTCAAGCTACCAAGGATTTCTGGGATGGTCCCAGATAAATTGTTGTAGGAAAGGTCGAGCACCAAGAGACCCTTCAGATTTCCTAGTGACAAAGGAATTGACCCTTGAAGAAGGTTTCCAGATGTATTGAGATGTTCCAAGCTTTGACATTCACCAATGGAGGTTGGAATCTCGCCAGAAATCATGTTATTAGAGAAATCAAGTTCATCAAGGTTTTTTAGATTTCCTACTTCTGGTGACAATGTCCCTGATAAGGAATTATGGGCAAGACGCATGAAACTCGTCAAGGTTGATATGAAAAATAGCTCTTTAGGTGTAGGACCAGATGTTGGAGTTGTTCCAAATTCACTCCAGGATATAGGCCAGGCTTCTGACGGAGCGAAGCGAGGTCTGTCACGGCCGAGGCTTGGGCCGGAGCGTAGCGGAGTCTCAAGCCCATCGTGTCTCGCCCTGTGTTTGGGGGGGGGGGGGCGGAGCCCCATGCTGCACGGCATCTGATATATACACCTTGCTAGGGTTTCGTGGAGACCGGATTCTCTTGTAAGCCGCCATAGGCGTGTAACCCAAAACTCTTGAGATAGTGAGATTGTTTGGTGGTGCCCGTGGTTTTTCCCCTTCACATCGGAGGGGTTTTCCACGTTAAATCGTGTGTCTCCTCTGTGGTTTGATTCTTTACTTCATATTCCTATACGTCGTTCATAACAAGTGGTATCAGAGCTTTGGTTGCTGTTAGGGTTCATGACGACGTCGATGAAGTTCGATCTTCCGCTGCTGAACTACGACACGCGGTTCTCGCTATGGCAAGTCAAGATGCGGGGGATTCTGGCGCAGACTCATGACTATGATGAGGCGCTGGATAGTTTCGGAAAGAGGAAGGCCGAGTGGACTCCAGAAGAGATCCGCAAGGATCAGAAGGCGCTTGCCCTAATTCAGTTGCATCTTCATAATGATATTTTGCAGGAGTGTCTGAAAGAGAAAACTGCTGCAGAACTATGGCTGAAACTAGAATCGATCTGTATGTCCAAGGATCTAACCAGTAAGATGCAGATGAAGATGAAGTTGTTCACCCTGAAGATGAAGGAGGAGGATTCAGTGATGAGCCACATCGCTGAATTCAAGAAGATCGTCGCCGACCTAGTGTCGATGGAGGTGAAGTATGATGATGAGGACTTAGGTCTTTTACTGCTATGTTCTTTGCCAAATTCGTATGCAAATTTTCGTGACACCATACTTTTGAGCCGTGATGAACTAACCCTAAAGGAAGTTTATGAGGCTCTCCAGTCTAGGGAGAAGATGAGAGGCATGGTGCAGAATGACGGGACGTCGTCCTCCAAGGGCGATGCTTTGCATGTGAGAGGCAGAACTGAAAACAGATCCTCCAATGATGGCAATGATGGAAGAAAGAACTACGAAAGGAGAGGCCGTTCAAAGTCCAAGCCGCATGGTAATAAAAAGTTCTGTGTTTATTGCAAGCTGACAAATCATAATATTGAGGATTGCAGAAAAGTACATGTAATAAGGAGAAGAGGAAAACAAGTCGGCCGGTAAGGTCTCTTCTTTCTTCTGCCAAGCGTCGATGATGATTCGGAGATTGTCCGGTAGTATTTTTGGTTGTGTTGCTGGGTCATGATGAATGGATTCTCGATTTCGCATGTTCATTTCATATTTGCACTAATGAAATTGGTTTAGCTCAGATAAGCTCGTGCGTAAAGGGGATGTTGTGCGGATGGGAGATGATAACCCGTGTGACAAGTGTGGGGATTGGATCGATTCAGATCAAGACCGATGATGGCATGACACGACGTTGAAAAATGTCGGTATATACCGGGGATGTCCGTAAATCTTATCTCATTGAGCACGCTTGATGCGTATAAGGTTACAAATATTCGGTTCGATGGGCGCTCAAGGTATCAAAAGGTTCTCTTGTTTGCTTGAAAGGTGATCTTAATTACGCGCAGTTATATGTCCTTAGAGGGTGTACTTTACACGTTCTCGATTCCATTTGTTCTTTGCTTTGTTACTAATGATGAACCTAGTAAAACTAACCTTTGGCATATGCGTTTTGGGACATATGAGTCACCATGGTATGGCGAATTGATGAAGAGAAACTTCGCTGGATGGCTGCACTTTGAGTAAAATAAAGTTTTGTGAGCATTGTATTTTCGAAGCATAAAAGGGTACATTTCAACACTTCAGTTCACACCACTAAAGGTACTCTTGATTATGTTCATGCTGATTTATGGGGTCCTTCCCGTAAGTCCTCACTTGGTGGTGCTCGTTACATGCTTACAATTATTGATGATTACTCTAGAAGGGTTTGGCCTTATTTTCTGAAATAGAAAGATGATACTTTTGTCGCTTTTAAGAACCGGAAAGTAATGATAGAAAGGCAAACCGAAAGGAAGGTAAAATTGCTTCAGATCGATAATGGTGGAGAATTTTGTTCGCGTGAATTTAATGATTATTGCAAATCGGAAGGCATTGTTAGGCATCACACCATACCCCATACTCCACAATGAATGGTGTGGCGAACGCATGAAACAGAACCATCATGTCCAAGGCCCGCTGCATCTTTGTCTAATGCCGGATGAGCAAGCGTTTTTGGGTGAAGTCGCTAATCTTGCTGTTACTTGATAAACAGGTCACCTTCTATTCCACTAAATAAAAGAACTCCCATTGAGGTATGGTCCAGTACGCTCACTTGATTATTCACAGTTGAAAGTTTTTGGATGCAATCGCTTATGCTCATGTTGATAATGGAAAATTAGAGCCTAGAGTCATAAGTGTCTTTTCCTTGGTTATAGTTCGGGAGTCAAAGGCTATAAATTGTGGAATCCTGAAACAGTAAAGACTTTTATGAGCAGGAGTGTTGTTTTCAATGAATCTGTGATGTTTACTGACAGTTTGCCCTCAGATCATGTTCCAGAAAAGGAGCTGCAGCGTATGCGCATGCAGGTGGAGCATGTTGATGATGATACAGGTGTGCAGGTGGAGCATGTTGATGATGATACAGGTGTGCAGGTGGAGCCCATTGATGAGCATGGTGACCATGATAATGATGTTGCTGAGGATGATGCTCATGATGATGTTCAGCAAACTCCTCCTATTTTACAGTTAGAGGAGGATTTACCTATTGCTCAACGCAAGTCAAAAAGGACAATTGCACCTCCTAAGCGTCTTATTGAAGAGTGTAATTTGTCTTACTATGCTTTGAGTTGTGCTGAACAGGTGGAGAATGTTCATGAGCCAGCAACCTATAAAGAAGCTATTCGTTGTGGTGATACTGAGAATTGGATTTCTGCTATGCATGAGGAGATGCAGTCTCTTGAGAAGAACAGTACATGGGAGATTGTACCTTTGCCTAAGAATAAGAAGATCATCAGCTGCAAATGGATCTTCAAGAGAAAGGAGGGTTTATCTCCAAGCGAGCCTCCAAAGTATAAGGCAAGGTTAGTTGCTAAAGGCTACAGTTCAAATTCCGGGTGTTGACTACAATGATGTGTTCTCTCCATGGGTAAAACACAGTTCAATTGTACTTTCCTTAGTATTGTTGCTTCACATGATCTTGAGCTTGAGCAAGTTAGATGTGAAGACTGCGTTTTTTGCATGGAGAGCTTGAGGAGGACATATACATGGACCAACCCGTAAGGGTTCATAGTGCACAGCAAGGAAAAATGTGTGTGCAAGTTGAAGAGATCCTTGTATGGTTTGAAACAGTCCCTCGTCGATTGGAACAAAAGGTTTGATTCATTTATGTTAGCACACGCTTTAAAAGATCTAAGTATGATAGTCGTGTTTACATCAAGCATGTTAATGGATCACCTATATATTTCTTTGTTATATGTTGATGATATGTTTGATTGTTTGCCAAGAGTAAGATTGAAATCACTAAGTTAAAGAAGCTATTGAGTAGTGAGTTTGATATGAAAGACCTTGGTAGTGCTAAGAAAATTCTTGGTATGGAAATTAGTAGAGAGAGAAAAATGGGTTTGTTATTTCTTAGTCAACAAAATTATATCAAGAAAGTTCTTCAAATACGTTTCAATATGCAAAATGCTAAGGTCATTAGTACCCCTATTGCACCTCACTTTAAGTTGTCACCGCTTCGGTGTCCTAGTACATGCAGAGATTGAATACATGTCAAGGGTTCCTTATTCTAGTGTTGTTGGGTCTTTGATGTATGCCATGGTTCGCTCTCGTCAGATTTGTCATATGCTATGAGTCTTGTTAGTAGATATATGTCTAATCCTGCAAAGAACATTGGAGGGTAGTTCAATGGATTTTCAGTACCTCGAGGCACAAAGCAGATTCTGTTTAAAAGTTTGGAAGAACTGATAAGGGTCTTATTGGCTATGTGGATTCTCGATTATCTTCATTGATCAGACGGAAGAAGATCACTTACTGTGTTATGTGTTTTCTTGTTGGCGATTGTCTTTGTGAGTTGGAGGGCTACTTTACGATCGGTTGTTGCTTTGTCTACTACTCAAGGCGAATATATGGCTATTTGTGAAGCGTGCAAAAGAATTAATTTGGTTTGAAAGGTTTGTACTGAGCTTTGTGGAGTTGAATCTTGCATAAGTTTGCACTGTGATGACCAAAAGTGCAATTTACCTCACTAAAGATCGATGTTCCATGAGAGAACTAAGCACATAGATATCAAGTATCATTTTGTGCGTGATGTGATTGAAGAAGGTAAGTCAAGATATGCAAGATTAGTACTCATGATAATCCACGATGATATGATGACAAAGCTCGTTCTGTTGCTAAGTTTGAGTGTGCTCAAGCTTAGTTGGTTTAATTGGATAGTCCAAGAGACTATTGTTGGCACCATGGTTTTCTATCTTTGGTATGTTCAGGATGAAGGGTTGATTTATGATACAAGATGAATTTGTCTCAAGGTGGAGTTTGTTGGAGTTGTTCCAAATTCACTCCAGGATATAGGCCAGGCTTCTGACGGAGCCGAGCGAGGCCCGTCACGGAGGCTTGGGCGGAGCGTGGCGAGTCTGGCTCGCCCATCAAATCTCGCCCACGTGTTTGGGGGTGGGGGCGGAGCCCCAGCTGCATCTGATCTGATATATATACACCCTGCTAGGGTTTCGTGGACCTGGATTCTCTTGTAAGCCGCCATAGGCGTGTAACCCAAAACTCTTGAGATAGTGAGATTGTTGCTGGCTGGTGCCCGTGGTTTTTCCCCTTCACATCGGAGGGGTTTTCCACGTTAAATCGTGTGTCTCCTCTGTGGTTTGATTCTTTACTTCATATTCCTATACGTCGTTCGTAACACCAGAAAGATTGTTGTGAGAAAGATCCAGTGACTGTAAAGGACAACTGCTGAGGCTAGAAGGTATAGCTCCAGAGATTGCATTGGTACTGAGGTCAAGGATAATAAGCTGTGTTAGATTGCCAAGAGTTACAGGGATGGGTCCTGACAAATTATTATTTGATAAATATAATTTGCTCAATTTGTTCAGTTTGCTAAGAGATGCAGGAATAGTGTCTTCGAGAACATTATGTTGCATGTACAATTCACCTAAGCCGATGAGGTTCCCTATTGTTTCCGGTATTGTTCCTGTTATAAGGTTGTCTCTTATGCCAAGATACTCCAGTTGAGTTGATAGATTACCAATTGAATTTGGCAGCACACCACGTAGTTTATTAGCACCAAGTTCCAACTGATTCATATTGCTACAGTTGGTCAAACTAGTCATAAAGCCCCAATCAGCAACATTGGATGCTTCAAGCTGATTTCCTCCTAGGCTCACGGAGGCAAGGTTCTGTTGGTGACTTCCCAAGCACTGTGGAATTGTTCCGGATAGCAAGTTTTCTTCTATTTGAATGATTTGAAGCATAGAGGTATTGCACAAGGATGACGGCAGCACGCCGTGAAATTGATTAAATGCCACAAGACACTGTTGTAAGTTTGGAAGTGTATTGCCTAAATTAGGTGGAAGAACCCCGACCAGATTATTAAATTGTATGTTCAGAATTTCAAGAGAAGAGAGATTTAACATCGGAGGCAAAGGGCCTTCTAGTTCATTAGTATCTATGTAAAGTTGAGTGAGGGCATGGAGGTTTCCAAGAGCATGGGGTATGGAACCTGAAAGGTTGTTAGTTGAGAGAGAGAGGATTGTAAGCTGCTCAAGACTTCCTAATGATTCTGGGATTCGGCCCACAAGACCATTGTCTTGAAAATCTATGACTTGTAATGAAGTGAGGTTTCCTAACCATGAAGGGATACGCCCTTCAAGCTTGTTGTTCCCCAACTCAAGATAAGAAAGAGACGAGAGGCCTTGAAGTGGTGGTATGCTTCCTTCTAAGCTATTGTTGTAAACATTAAGAAAGGTCAATGCTGAGAGGTTACCAACTGAGCTGGGGATGATTCCTGAGAACTTGTTGGAATCTAGGCTAAGTCTTACGAGGTTGGCGAGGCTGCCTATACCTGTTGGGATTTCTCCTATCATGCTGTTAAAATCTAGAGACAGCACCTTCAGATTCACAAGGCTCCCAATGCTGGTAGGGATTCTCCCTGCAAGCCTATTTTGGTCAAGACTGAGTAATTCGAGATTATACAGCAAGCTGAACTCGCTTGGGATCTCCCCTTGCAAGTTATTATTGATGAGTGAGATGTTGACAAGGTGGCTACAATTCGAGAGTGAAGGCGGCATATGTCCTTGGATGGAATTGTAGCCAAGGTGCAGAGTCTCAAGGTTATAGAGATTACCAAGTTCTGGTGGAAGGATGCCATGAAAGCGATTCCATGAAAGGTTGAGCTGCCTCAAGTACGTGAGGTTGCCCAACGCGGTAATGGTGCCGAGAAGGTTGAGCCCACCGAGGTCCAACGCTACCACACGGCCACGGCGGCTTCCCCTCAGTCCGCATGCCACGCCATTCCACTGGCACATCGGAACAGACTGGTTGCCCCATGAAGCCAGGGCCCGTGACGGATCGCTCCTCACAAGCGACTTGAATGACATGAGCGCAAGATGGTCAGTAATGTTGCTTGTGGATGTACCAGCTGGAATGGACTCTAAAGCAAGCGCCATGGAACTAGCAGAAGATGCAAGGAAGACGAAGGCGAGCAAGAATGGCCTACAAGATAGAGCCATTGCTGATTTGCTGGTAATGGAGAGCTTGGCTGCTGGGGAGGTGGTCTTTTGTGTTTGTTTTAGCAAAAGGCTGCAGGCTCGTCTGGTTTTGGATCATGAAACCAGTAATCAGTATGTCACCAGAGCTGACTCAGTCAAGGTCAGTATTGTTAATTTGTCTGTTAATTGCGCTGCATAGCTGCACGTGAAAGATTCCAATTTGCTAGTGGCTGCTAGTTGCGAGCAACAGGCTGGTTGCAAGTTGCAACTGCCTGGCGGCTTGGGCTCTTCAGCTTCCGCGAGGCTTGGTCCATCATGAGCTAAACATGGAAACGAAATAAGTTGATGTGAAATCAGATGCATTTTAGCTCGAATAGTTTGTCTTTTTAAGACAAGAAAAGGATTGAAGGTGGAGTTGATGAATGAATTTGGGCAGCGTTGAGGAGTCTGCGCTTCATCTGTTCTTCAGCTGCCCTTTTAGTCGAGCAAGTTGGCAATATCTTGGAATTAGTTGAGATCTCACAAAAGATTTCTTCCAAATGATGCATCTTGCTAAGCTCCAATACCAAAGCCTCATATTTATGGAGATATTCATCATAGCTGCTTGGCAAATTTGGAAGCAAAGAAATAATTTCATCTTTGACAGAGATCACCCGTTTTTTGATTCCTGGAAAAATTCCTTCTTTAAAGAGGCTAGTCTTAAGGCACACAGATTTAGTGAGCAAAAGTGCCAAGACTACTTGTTGTGTATAGATGCCTTAGTACAGTTTTTTGTCTTGGGCTTGTTTTTTTGTGTTTTTTTCCTCTCTTCTGAGGTTTCTTTGTAGTCTTTGTTTTTGTTTAATATAATCTCTACAGCGGGGGCCTCACCTACTGTATTTTCAGTTAAAAAAAAGGAGGAGCAACGGGGCATCATCTTGGTGTTAGTATAATCCTTGTTAGTGAGCCAAAAAAAAGTCAATGAGTCAAGTTCTGTACAGTGAGTCAAGGGATTTGTAAAAAATAAGGCCTTCCGCAACGGTGCAGTGATGCTCTAAAAAAATCTGGTTCCCATTCTCTTTACTGGCATTGCTCCTCATATATATACTGCAATGGTAGGCATCGGAATTGCATGGACCCACTGAACCAGGAAAAAAAGGACAGCTTGCGCAGGCAAGGACAGGTACCAGCATGAGGAGAGATGGGTGGCTGAGCAACTTTCCTCTACATGTGTCGCTCCCAACTTTTCCTCGCTTCACTTGAACTTGGCACCGTATGCTCCAGTGGCAGGAGCGGTGCTCAAAACTTCTCTCCTTTCGAAACACCGCTTAAGCCGTACACTGCGGAGGGCCTAAGTCAGCCCACTCTAGTCTTCCCCTTAATTTCTCGGAAAGTCTCTAGGAAAGCCACTAGGACTGGTTTTTTACTCTGTAAAGAGACGTCGCTTATGCCTTTCTTTCACTGAGGGGGCAATGGTGTGGTTCGGTGGTGTTCTATTGTTGTGCGGGCTGTTCTTAATCCAACCGCGTCTAGTCTCTATTGTTTTAAATTGTTAGCTCATGGTTGTTTGAAGTAATGTTGCTCTGTTATTTTTTGTTGTTTTATCTAGTTTGGGATAATCTTCTTTTTAATATAATCAGCAGCTTTCTTGGTTGGTTTGTTTTTCTTTTAAAAAATATTTTTTAATATAATCAGCAGCTGGTTGGTTTGTTTTTCTTTTCTTAAAAAAAAAGCGATGCCAGCCGCCAGCAAATTCAACCGAAAGAACCTAACCAGTAGGCGACGGAAAAGCGATGTACTCGCTCGTCTCTAAATAACTAGGTTTTTTTTCCTTGCCGTACGTTTAACTAGATTTATAGAAAATACGTGTAACATTTATATCTCTAAATAAATTCATTATAAAATAGATTCAACGTCTATCTTATAATATTAATTTTATACTATAAATATTAATATTTTTTATATATATTTAGTTAAAATTGTTTCTTAAAAACAAAATTGACAATTGTTTAGGGACCGAGGAAGTAGTTATAGACTACAGTTGCACTATATGAGAAGCTACACCCCGTTCGGCTTACCTAATATCTACTTGTTCGGCTTTTTTTTTTCAGCCGAAACAGTATTTTTCTCTCACAACATTTCCAGAATAGCATTTTTCAACCACTTTCAGTCAAGTTTCAGCAAGCCGAACAGGGCCTACGTAGGAAAAGAAATGAAAACTAGAAAATTCAACTGCCCGCACAAAATCAGCAGTGCAGCACCGTGATCAAACAGCACGCAAGGCAACTGCCTACCTTTCTCCCGACCCCCAGCAGAGGGTCCACAAACAGGCGGATGGCACAGTATTTGCGTCAGCATTCTCCAAACTCGTTAAATTTGTGGCACAGCAACCGCCTACCTTGCTTCCGATCAGTACGCAAAACCACTAACCACACGCGAAGATTTACCCAGAAGTTTACTGCATATTTGCATTAACTAATGACTACACAACTTAACTCATACGCTTCATGTATACATGGGTCAGACTATCGTCTACCTCGTCAACTTCAAGCAATCCCAGGTGGACTCCTGGAAACTGCACTACCGCCATGGAATCCCATCACATTAACATAGGTACTGTATAGCTCAAGTCAAATTTGAAATGGCAGGGATGTATTGCAGATTCACTTCGGTTTTTGGACTGTCAAAAGCATGCAGGAAGCTGCCCAGCAGAGACCCGGCAACTCCAGATGTCGCAGTTATGGCTTGTGGTATGCAGCTGCTTGATCTTGCAATTTAGTTGAGCTCTCAGGTTCATTCTTAACATTGCTTGGCTCATCGACGGCCATCGCACTGGCATCCACCTGCTGCAGTTCACAGCACCATGAAGAGAAAAAGACAAGCTTTGGTTAGTTGAACAGAGTCAGAGTGTTGATAGCATGCACTCTTCGAGTTCGTCCATGTGGTATTATATCAGTGAATACAAAAGAAGGCACTTACAGGAGCTTGCTTCGAGGAACCAATGTCTTCTGCCATGGGTTCCAGTCCTCTATGGTCAGATGCAACTCTGCCACCATCCTGCACAATACAAGATCAATAAGAATGTCAGCAGATAATCACATTAGTCGAGAAAACAGAAGTGAAAAAGGAAATGAAAATACCTGCACTTTGGTCTCATTTTCACCAAATTCTCTCTTAACTTTTATACCTAGAATGCTCCTCCTACAAAAGTTGACAAGGGGCACACATCAGGATGAAAAATAAAACCCAAAACGTAATGAGTAGTCACTCAGAGAGGGAGGGAGGGAGGGAGAGAGAGACCTTGCTGACTCTTCCACAGCCTTGTGATCATCCACTTCCATATCAGAGTCGGGATCATGCCGTTCATCTGGATCATCTTGATCTTCATCTGGCTGTACATCAAACATGTCCAAAAACAATCAGGTTTTGACTTATCACTTCCAATAGAATACCAGGGCAAATTCAACCAACACTAAAGATCATTTGTGAAGTTACATTTCTGATTTCTGATAGCTTAACACTTGTAGCCAATCACTTTATGTAGATGGTTGAAGACTTGAACGATAAAACTAACTAAAATAAATTATCAATCATCCAGTTTTTGTTCATGTTGGCATAAATGATATTTGTTCAATTCAGCATGATAAGTCCTAACATTCAGACTGTTTGGGGCCATGGAGCATAACACTAAGCTTGAAAAATAGCATCAAAGTGTGCTTCAAATAAAAGAATATTCTGTGGCAAAAGCCACTCTTATTTTTTAACTATAACACAGTCTCTGGTACACAAATAATTCAAATGAACTGAATATCAAACAAAATATGGATGAGAAGAAATCCACAAAAAATGTGGAAACTGGAATGTGTGCACAATCTTGTCATGCCACCTCAGCTGAGAAGCATAGCACATGCATGTATATCACAACATTGAAACACAGCACGTCCACTGTATCAACAGGTCAAGTCACTACATAGATCAAGACAATGTTAAAGAACAACAATAGACACTAGTTCATTTGTATCTGTAGTAGAAAAAGGGTGCCAAGCTTCTACCATCCTTCCAGCGTTGGTCGACAAGAAAAGAACAATGTTCTAAAAGCAGATCTATTAGGCGCTATACAAGGAACAGGACCCACCACGTTACTATTTACTGAAGGCTGTCCAATCAGTACTGAGCAGTTAGGATCTAATTTCAGTTACTAACTAATATTTAAAGCATATAAGAAATAATATAATGACTGGATATAGGTATCACTACCAATTTGCTTTTAGGAATCTGCATCTGGTAGAGATAAAGCTATCACAAATTTTAAAATAAATTGAAAACACACATCTAGCACTCATGAGGGGACACACAATTATCTTGCTAGTTATAACAGGATGCTCAGTTGCTCACCTCAGGTACTTCTGTGTCAGGAACTCTCTCTTGAAACTGGACACTAGGAGCATGTCGAAGTTTTGAAAGATTATCCAGAAGTTTAGATCTTATATCATCCAGTTTGTGTCGTGTATTTTTGTTTTCCATGTTACTTGGTGCAACATGAAGAGTGTAATCTGGACCGAAGTATTCATAGTACTCGTTGACAGGCATCTTGTCTTCAAGCTCTTGGCCAAGAGCAACTCCCGTCTGCACAAAATATATTTTTTTAGGGAAGAAATGGATGAATCAGAAGTGCAAATATATTCCATTCTAACATCTGCAATCTAAGTTTTTTAAGAAAAATTCCTTGGTACAACAGGAAGGTGGCCTGTCAGTTAATTTGTTTTCTGTATCTACCAATAATCTACTCTAAGCTTGACTAACAAAGCACTTTTACTAATCCCCAATATAATTTGAGGAACACAAGGTGTTCTGTTATTCGATATGCTTATACACATCTATACTCTTTAACATATGCATTTCAGCAAGAGAACATATACTAACATTCCAAATCATGTGTTACATGTATAGCTCAAAAGTCAAAACCAAGGTCATGGGTATTCTGTGAACGAAATTGCTAACAGCAAGTGCACACTGAAGTTAAAAAATACAATCACATCAGG